GTGAAAGCAGCAGGCTGACCTCTCGGTCTCTCTATTTATGTGCCTTAGGATCACTGAAAGATGATGAAAATACAGGTCTGAGAAGGGAAAGCTACTAGGAAAGGGAGAGGGATCGAGGCCAGGTGACACACAAGCACCGTAGTCACCAAAACATGCACGTGTGCACACCCTTCTGGTTAGCACTTCTGACATGTGGGAAGCCAAAGTGTGAGGTTTGCAAGCGTGTCTTTCACTCAGAGGCCCCTTCCTGTCACCTTTATATCTGCACAGAAATGTCTGCAGAACCGATCCAAAAGGGCTCGTTTCAAGTACCCAGACCAAAAGCGCCTCCAGCCACTATGTGGAAAACTTCTACCTTCTTGTATAAAGGTAGGAAAAACATGTACGTAGGCTACATGGTTTAGTGCTGAGGAGACAAACAGGCTAAAAAGTCTGTCCCCATCTACACCCAGGTGAGCTTCTGAAACTAATGGGGTCTCTGATAAAAGCAGAGATTAAGTGCGCCAGGCTTTCTGAGATGGGCTACGGCAATGCAGGCGTCATCATTTCAGAGGGGGTTTTGTGCTGGGGCTTTAAATCCAGCAAAGCATCACGCTTTGAAACCTTGCCTCTTTCAATACTGGGTTGTATTTAAAATAATGGCATGTTGCATATCTCTTAAGTTTCCTTTTATTAGATCTAAAGCAGTCAAGTGGGGTCAGATCATCAAATGGCAGACTGCTGCCCCAGACTGGCAGTCCGTAAGCTGTGTGTAAATATGTACTCTATGTCAGCAACGTAACTGAGATACGTGAGGGGAGATCGAAGTTGTGACTTTCTTATCTTCTCCCAAAGGACTTAAGGGAGCCAGAAGGGCTTTATGCAGAAGTTAGTATCACTTAGTATGAATTAATATTGAAGTTTTCTGACTGAAGCGTGCCTTGGATTATCGGTTAATCATTGAGCACCCAAAAAGCGTGGTTATCCAGTTAATTCAGAGCTATCTCCTATTCTTACCATTGCAGGTACCTTTCTCCCTTTTAAGTGGAATGTGCAGACCCAGCAGTGCCTGTGTCTTGGGCACATGCTTCTGATCTTACCTCCTGGAATAACCTCTGTCTTCTGCTCCTTTGTAGACTTTATGCGCAGGTGCTGCACTAGATACATCTCCTATCTACTTTATGAACGCGTGATTGCAGAGCAGTTACCCAGGTCTCAAATTCACTTTGAGCTTGTCCCAGATGCTGTAACCCAAGGTAAGCATTAGAAGGGGTATATTTATCAGAAGGGAGACTGTATCAAGGTAGGATTGGTGTTCTCCCATATGAACAGGTCAGATACACAAACTGACAAAGCAGAGCCTTTTGTCTCTTCTCCCTCCTCCCAATAGGTAGCATCTTATTGGCAAGAATTAGGTTACTAGCTGTTGGCGTTAGTTTGCATGTTTGGGTGGAAAAATACTTTTTAAAAAATCTCTCTTTTGTAGTTGTTCAGACTCTGCAAATCAAAACCCAGCTGTGCTCACCTGGCAGATCAGCAGCGGCAGAAGGGTCAGAGAGGGGACTTGGCAGGGGAAACGTGTCTGTGAGGTGCTACTAAAAAACCTACCATTGAGGTAGGTGGGATTGCTGGCATAGGTAAGCAAGGCAAGCAAGTAAAGAAACCCTGTCAGTGGAAACCAAGCTACAACTTGGTGGTGACTGCTTGGGGAAGGCAGAAGTATCGCCCCCTGTAACGCTACTCTAATTGCTCAGCCTTGCTCCTAGAAAGCGCTACTAATTTCTCCAGGAAATGCAATCATAAACTGCCGGATCCAAAATGGTCTGTGGCTGCAATAGGAATTAATCTGTTGACTGGGACTGAACTGCAGGAGGAGGCGATTCCTGTCATAGCTGTCCAGAAGAAGGTGAAATCATGCCAAGGTTTTAAGCCCTCACCTTTAGTGCCATTGTGGGTTTTGCCTTAAGAAAAAGACCTTGCTGGTTTTGGTGGTGTTTTTTTTAAATTACCACTGTGATAAATTAAGAGGCAATAGACGATCATAAATCCTATCCAACTCCAAGCCAGAGTTGCTGCCAAGTGGCAAAAAGAAAGTAAATAACTAGGAATCAGAGAAAAAGAAACCTGAGGCCTTTCTTGGTCTGAAGGGCACTGCGTATACAAGGTTCTGTTTGGTGACCACCACCCTTATGCTCTTTATTTAATTTAGCTGTGTGTCAGGATTTATGTCAAACACGTTAAAGCTGGTTTAAAGTAATGGGTGGGCAGAACGAATATTAGTGCTTGAGATTGTTACAGCTGCCTCTGCGTGGCCTCGCGTTGATTTGACAGAGCTTGTGCAATTCTGTCTTTAGGGTCAAGCCCAAAGAAACTGTCAGCGGGAACATCCAGAACCTAAAGTGATGGCAATCTGGAAGAATGCTGGAGAGGAAGAAGGATGCAGGGATGAGCAAATGGATTTCTCGCTTCTTGCTCGTGCAAGAGAATGTGAAATGGGTAAGAAACCAACTCTGATCACTAACACTTATTTTCAACCCTCTCGGACGGGTGGGTTTCTCTGCCTCTCGATGGGTTATGTCCGTCTACGTACAAAACCCTGCCAGCCAGGTGGCAGAGACCCCACATTCCGGGTTTCTCTCTCAAGACGTGGCCGCCTTCTTTTGTGGCATGGGCAAAGGGGCAAGCACAGGGCTTCCTCTGTGTCTTCCTTCTTGGTGCTTGGAATTAAATTCTAGGAAAGGGGAGGATGGGCAGCAGGGGATTCTTCTGTTGTTAGTAATTGTGGGAGTGACTAATGGAGCAACAGGACTCTTGGCCAGTGTGGCAAGTCACAGTGGGGAGCTGGGGCCCTCCTGTCAGGAGATAAGCCCCAGAATGCCCTTCCCAGGCACTAGCACCTCAGTTTCATTGTACAGTAGCCATTTCAGCAGCCTCCCTGGAAAAAAGTCAGGGAGCAGTACAGTAGTCAGCAGCATTAAATTAAATAAATAGTCATAAATACACATTACTCTCGAGTTGCCAAGGCACATTTTTCCCAATTGTACCTTGCTTTCACACTTAAAATTTATTTTTTGATAACCTGTCTTCCATCCGCACTCCTTTAAATGTGGTCATTCTTCTGCAGGACATGTTGTGTTTAGCACTTGTTCATGAAAATTGTAGGCAGGTTGGGAGAAATTAGTGTGTTACTTTTGCATACATTACCTTTCCCTAACTGAAATGCACAAGCTGGAGCTTGTGAGGGTTTTCCTTAGCTGGGTGACAAAGTGGAGTCTGTGTGGATGAGAGTTCCTGGTACAGAGATACAAAGACCAGTTACTCACCCTTATGTCCCCTGCTCTTTCAGTGCCCACTGGAGCTAGAGACAACAGAGGAGCTAGAACTGCACCGTTTGCATAAGGGGAATAGGCAGCTGACTCCCTCCTGCCATTCAGAAGGTGGAAAAATCCTGGTGTTGAACAAGGTGGAGATTGAGGGCCTCATATGTCACCTAATCTACCTGGCTGGGTAAGATGAGAAAGCATTTATTAAACATTCAAACAAGCACCCTGCATCCCAGCCAGCCACAGTGGCGTTTGGTACACCACAGCCTCGCTGCCCCTCTTCCTCAGGTGGCTGCTAATGAGTCTGGAATAATCCCCCAGAAAAGTAAAAATTCGTATTGGCTTTTTAGTGCAGCTCTACCACCCGATTTGCTTACAGAGCAAGTACTTCACTATCCAGATTATGAGAGAGATCAGTCAGATGCCTCACACCGTTGACACCCCTCCGGATCTATCCTGCCACCCACTGATGGTCCCTTTTTTCTTTTTTATTCTCTTTTGGTCCCCATGACCCTTCCGAACCTCTGGTGGACTTTGGAGGCCTTGCTGCTGTATAGATGCAGTCATGTAAATATGCCAGAGAAGGGAAGGAAATTGTTCTTTTTCTTCCTAATGTTTTCCCGCAGAGTTTATAAGACGAGGTAAGGGTGAGGTGGTATGAGCAGAATGGTTTTGAAGACCAGAGGCAGAAGGGAAATTTGCTGGGCAGGGTAGCAGGAGTTGGTTGCAAATAAATACTAATTTTGGTTTTCTTTTTAAGTTGGGGTACTCCCCCTGTTATGGGAGGTCACACAGGTAGTAGCCCTTTCAGCACCAATGTAGATCTTCAGCACAGGGATGGCTTTAATGGCAGGGGCCTAAGCACATAGAAAGCGAAGGACTACAGAAGATGTAAAGGGGACACTGTCAAAAAGAATGGAAGTGCGATTTCTGGGGTGTGGCTCTCCTCCATCCATGCACCTTGTAGGCAGATAACTCCCCTCCCCACCATCTCCTTGGCTATTAAATGCAGTATCAACAATGGGAGGTGGCAAACTAGTGTTTGGAGGAAGCATTTCAGCTCATTTACATTCTGTGCTTTGCTCTCTGAACCAGGCTGGCTGGCTGGCATGACAGCAAATTATATTTCTGCTTCAGGAAGCATAGAAGGTGATAGCCAGTGAGATCTGCTCTCTACAGACCTACAGCAATTCTTCCAGAGGCCTCCTCTCCAAATGCGGAGTAGTTTTGTAAGGGATTCGCAGCGACTGCCAAAACCTCTCTGCCCTGAAGCCAGCAAGGTAAGAACGTTGACAGTGTCCCCTTCGTATGTATAGATAAATACAATCAATCGGGGACCTTCATGCACAGGAGGGGATGGGGGAGGGGCACTCACTCTGATGCTTCCCTTTGAATTAACAAAAACAAAACAGACAGACAGACAAACAAACAGCCAGGAATATTACAGAGTGATGCACAGGCCCAGGGGAGCGCACTTAGGCGTGCCCCTAAGCGCACCTCAGTGCTGGGAGAGCACAGCTCTCCCACACACACACACGCACGCACCCCCCACGCTTCCACCGAGACGCTCCATTTCAGCCAGTGTTGGAGGTCAATCCTTCCTCTCGATACGTAGGCTTAATTTTTTCTCTTAAAATCTGTATATAATATATATATTTATATTCTGTATATATATATTTTATATATATATTTAGAAGTCCCGGGACCCGATGCCATTCTGAAGATTTATTAGTGAATCCTTCATCTGCAAGACAAGAAATTTCTCCACTGTGATGCTACCCTAGCGGTGAGAGCGCGTTGAGGTTTCCTTCCCCATCGGTGCCTCCTTCTTCCATGTAAGGTGTAGATACCATAATAGTCTGGGCTTTGGGAGCAGCATGTCAGGGCTGGGATGTACAAATGGAGACTGAGAAGACGGGAGCCTGTGAGAGACCATTCTCCAGGGTAACAGAGGAGGGGCGAGCAGAACGAGGTACGGGGGGGGGAGCAGCTTGTCTCCATAGGGGAGAGCGGCTGTCAGTTATGAACTCTGTTCTAAGCAGCCCGGCACACAACCGGCTCTTCAGACAGCAGATACCGAAACCCCTGGCTTTGTGCTATTAAGGGCCCGCATAGAGCGTGTCCCCCTCATCCACGCAAGCTATGTATGAATCCAGGGTTGAGATAAAAAAAGTTTGCTTTCCAAACTGGGATACCAGAGACTAGATATAAGATGTGCTAATGTAAGGTTCCGTCCTTGATGTACGTGGACCCCTGTGAGGTGACAGAAGCTGCAGTATCCTGCGAATAGCCCTTGGGACCTGCTGCCCACCGCTACCTCAGAAGACGGATCTAAAGGGAGACGGTAGTGGCGATGATGCACCTGATGGACTACAGTGGAGGAAGCAGGTAATGCTGAAGGATTGCGAGCGGGTTGCTGGGAGGACACGGTGACCCTCTAAGTCACAGCGCTAACTGGCCATGTGGTCTCACCTGGTCTAGAAGCATCACGGAGGATTTGATGATCTCACGCCATTTTTGTAGCTCTGAGTCATGATACTTCTGCTGAGATTCTAGTAACTGGGCCCACTCTGTCTGAGACTGGGGTAACCTGTCAGGCAGAATATGAGCAAGAGTGAATCTAGGGAAACTGAAGTCAAAGTGGATTGGGGGAGCGTGTAGATTGTATCAGATTGTCTAATCTTTTCACCCTAAAGGAGCAGGTTTTCTTGAGCATTTAAACTCGCTTAGTATTTTCCTAAACAGGATACCAACATTACTCTGTCTTAACCATGGTAATTAATTAATTAATAGCAAAGATATGCCTTTTGCACAAGCTGTTGTAGTGCAGGTGGAACCAAAGGCCCATTTGCTAGAGGGGATGGTGAGGACAGCAGGCAGCGTGCTCTCATTGCTTGGTAGACGTGTATACTGTGACAGATGGCACCGTGGCCATTGATGGGGAATAATGCACCACAGAGTAATGTTGTGGGATAAGTAGGTCTGTACAGTTTCTGTGTTTTGTTTTTTCTAGACATGCTGGGTCAGGCTTTCTCTTTATTATGAGCAATAGCAGCACGGGCTCTATTTTTAATGGCAGGTAAGTGTAGTTATCAAGTCCCTCCCTTAGGGCCCAATTAATCCTCCAGAACAGGGCTGGAGGCTGCTGAGTGGAGCAGAATCAGGGCAGATGCAAGCCGTCAAGGCCCTGATGGGAGGATCGGCAGGACTGGCTGCCCAGAGCTG